TTTTGTTTCAAAAGTAACCCTCCAACATTACAATTTATTGCGTGTTTGTATTATAATATTTATGACACATCAATTCTATTTTTATTAATAATATTGACTATTATTATATTTTTAATACCAAGATTTTCTGTAACAGTAGCAGAAATTATATTTTTATTATCAAGAATATTGTAATCGCTATTAAGATCATTTATATTAACTTTCTCTTTATTTAATCCAAAATTGCTATATAACAAAATATTTTCATCCAATTGTTTATCTAAAATTAATTATTGATATAATAATTATTAAAACCTAAAACATTATTCTTATTGTTTCGAACTCTTTTATATGGATAAATCATAACTTTAAAGAGTTATTTTGTTAAAATTATCGGCATTGTTAAATCACACCACTGGTGTTTCAACACCACTATACTTTATAACTCAAAAATTCATCTATAAAACTATCTTTGGAGCTCTAACAAAAAAATTTCTTGCAAAATTCTGGTATAAGCTATGCTCTGCCTCATCTTAGGCCTAAATCCTAATCCTAATATTAATTAAAATTTAATTTTTATTTTGATAAAAATTATTTTGATCTACATATTACACGATTTTCATATATGTGGTGTTGAACACCACTGGTGCGATATATAATTTTCGAAAATTATTATTAGCTTATATGTTTTTTTTTATAATATAAAGATTATAAGCAACTAAATTGACAGCTTAATGAATATTGTTATATATTATAGTCACTTTACTTAAGATCTTTTTCAGTTTTTAATTTTAAGCTTATTATTAGATAAAAAAAGAATTGATGTGTCATAAATATTATAATACAAACACGCAATAAATTGTAATGTTGGAGGGTTACTTTTGAAACAAAAATCAGATTTCTTTTTTTTTATGTAAAATATTACATGCAAACCTTATTGTAAAATATATTACACAAAAAATTAAGGGACATTTTCACTGATCGATAATTTTTGGCCAACTGGGGTAAAATCACCACCCTAAAAAGTTTAGTGGCCAATCAAATCTCAAGATCAGATATAACGTTACATGAACAGGAAAATTCAAAACATTCGTTTAGTCAAAAATCGCTCATAACACAAAATTTAGTCTATGAAACTGCCTTCTGCACATTAATTAAAAGTTTTCTTGTAATATTTTGATATAAGATTATTATTAGACATCAATCTAATGGTAAAATCATGATCCTAACCTAAAAACACAAAATTTTTACTTGAAACTTTTTTTTTTTGGTGGCGATTTTACCCTCGATTTATCGATCTTACCCCGTTATTGTTGATTACCAATAAAAATTGATAATCAGGCGTGTAACGTGATAATCAAACCAATTTAAATTGGGCGTAACTAACGCGTCTTTATTTTCGTGCTTAGTTCGCTTCTTCTTCCTTGTTGATATCCGTGTTTTGTATAAGGAGCCGGCTATATTCTTTTTTCGTGTACTTATTTCTATTAAACACATATCTATTTAATTTAGGTAATTGAGTATTATTCTATTTAATCTAAATCAAAAACAATTCGTAAAGTAAAAGTTTCTCTCTAAAACAAGTACATGAAAGCTATATTATATAGATGGCAGAGGATAAATCAGTTATATCCTGTTTAATTGAATATAAGTGAAATTTTACAGTAAAGTATAATCGGCCACTTACACGGCCAACTACCCAAGATATAACTATTACGAATACCAGTTAGATAGACAATGAAATAATTCTAGCAACGATGAGATATGA